ATGGATATGTCAATCGGTGTACGAAATGTAGTTATCAAGAACCTCGTCAAATTCCTGAAGTAAGGAGAGAAAAAGAGGTTAATGTCTGTGCTTTTCTGGAAGTAAGTGAGCTGTGTTCTTCCTCCCAAATTTCCGAAGAACTTGTCATTTCAAGTCGTATAGTTCGTCGGAAATAAAAATATGACCAGACCTGTACAACACTGAAAATTACTAATACATAGGAAATTAATAAATAGTCGGTGTAAACATAATGATTACGTCTAAAAATTTTTTGACTTTATTTCGTACATCATACTTTAAAATTAGTTTTAATTACGGCCCTTATTCTTTGGAATCTGTCATTGGTTGCCGGACGATTTTATCGTATGTCTATTCACCCTCCACCCCACTAAATCTGATAAATAACACAGGTCAACATTTGATCTAAGAGTAATCACCGGACCTGACCAGGGTACTTCTAGGTTTTTTGGATCGCTGATTCCGAATCCGAGGTTGACTAAGCTCCATCACGTCAGGTTCAAGGTCATTTGAAGGTCAAATGGCCAAAAATGGTCTAAAAAATCTGAAAAAATTTATACGTAGCCGAGTTCAAAGCCGCTGCTATTTTTACCATTCAAAGACATCTAAGGGTCGTATTAAGGTCATTTGGAGGTCAAATCGAGAAATATGGTCTAAAAATCTGAGAAAATTTATACGTATATTTTTGGAGTAGCTGAGTTAAAATCCGCTGTCAGTTTCACTTCTGAAGGACATCTGAAGGTCATGTCAATTTCATTTGAAGGTGTAATCGAGAAAATCGGTCTAAAAAATCTGAAAAAATCTAGCTGAGTTCGAAGCCGCTGTTATTTTCACCATTTAAGTACATATAAAGGTCGTATCAAGGTCATGTCTAGGGCATTTGTAGGTCAAACCGAGAAAATCGGTCTAAAAATCTGAAAAAATGCATACGTATGTATACGATTCCTGACCGAATGAGGCGAAAACATAAAAGAGGCTAGCCAGTTAAGGTAATTTTCCGGTTAGTTAGGTAGAAATATAAGCGTGTCCAGCCAGTTAAGGCAAGACGAGTGAATGTTCCGACCAGTTAAGGCAGGAAAAAGAGTGTGTCCAGCCACTTAAGGCAAGACGACTTAATGTCCCGGCCAGTTAAGGCAAGAACATAAGCGCGTCCAGACAATTAAGTCAAGACGACTGAATGTCGGAACATTCACTCGTCTTGCCTTAACTAGCTGGACACGCTCTTGTTCATGCCTTAACTGGCTAGGACATTCACTCGTCTTGCCTTAATTGGCTGCACACGCTTATATTTCTACCTAACTAACCGGAAAATTACCTTAACTGGCTAGCCTCTTTTATGTTTTCGCCTCATTCGGTCAGGAATCGTATACATACGTATGCATTTTTTCAGATTTTTTTAGACCGATTTGACCTACAAATGCCCTAGACATGACCTTGATACGACCATTAGATATCTTTGAATGGTAAAAATAGCAGCGGCTTTGAACTCGGCTACGTATAAATTTTTTCAGATTTTTTAGACCGATTTTCTGGATTACACCTTCAAATGAAATTGACATGACCTTCAGATGTCCTTCAGGAGTGAAACTGACAGCGGACTTTAACTCAGCTACTCCAAAAACATACGTATAAATTTTCTCAGATTTTTAGACCATATTTCTCGATTTGACCTCCAAATGACCTTTTTAGATGTCTTTAAATGGTACAAATAGCAGCGACTTTGAACTCGGTTACCCCAAAAACATACGTATGAATTTTTTCAGATTTTTTATACCATTTTTGGCCATTTGACCTTCAAATGACCTTGAACCTGACGTGATGGAGCTTAACCAACCTCGGATTCGGAATCAGCGATCCAAAAAACCTATAAGTACCCTGGTCAGGTCCGGTGATTATTCTTAGGTCAAATGTTGACCTGTGTAATTTACAAGAGTGAATTGCCTTGTTTTGCTTTTAGTGACCTTGGTTACGTTCGTTGGCTCACAAATTTCTCAGTAGATTGCTGAATAATGCACCATAATGCTATTTAATTTCGTATTTCTGACTAAAAATGTTCATGTTTTTCTTGTGTCTTATGTATCGCGAGATGAAAAATAAATCATGTAGATCAAAAGTAAGCATAAAAATACAATTGTTGAAGTTCTGTTTATTGATTATTAGCTAGTGTGGACCCGCTTCGCTAGATCAGTTTTTTTAGTATGTCTGTATAGTTTTTGCATCATATTGAAAGTGGATACCGTGATACATCTTCTCTCTTTTTAACACCTATTTCTTTTCTAACACAGTACTACTTCTCTTTAACACCATTTTCCTTCCTTAACGTCGTTGTTTCTTTCTATAAAATTGTTCTTTCTCTCTTTAACGTATTCCATCTCTTTCTAACATCTGTCTTCTTTTAACAATTTCTATCTCTTTTTACTATCTACTCTCTTTTTATCTTTATAGTATCATTCTTTCTATAAATTTTCAATCAGATCATTTAAAGCAGCAACTTCACCCGCTTCGCACCCTTATAGTTACCACAAAGCCCACACCTACCCTAACCAAATTAAGACAGTATCAGTGGGGGAACCTTGGCTACCCACCCTCACAATCACGGGTCTGCGGAATTAGTGAGTTGCAGAGAAATGTGGGCGTCATGGACACAGGGGTTCACTTTTGTTTATTATATACAGGGTGTTCCTAAATAAGTGTCGCAACGGAAAACTGTAAATTCCTCTTGAAAAGAGAAACATTTTTTTCCTCTTCCATTTTTCTCTTTGGGCTTTCGTTTTCGAGATACACGCTGTCAAAACATTTTTCAGATTTTTGCCAATATCTTAGGAACCGTTTGAACTACAGGACTAAGCTTTTGTACACACATTACCACTATTAATAGCTACTTGTTGCAAATGTTGTTAAATTTCGTTAAAATTGTTAATTATCACTATCTATCTTTTGAATTACAAAAGATTTTCGAAATGTTAGCAAAATGTTTGTTTTTGTTCATAAAAAGTCATTTTTCTTGAAAACGGTTGACTTTAGAGCAATGAACCTAGAGAACTCTTTTTGTTTAAAATTCATTAGCGCTTCTGAATTTGCTATCAAATGTTAATTTTTCCAGTGGCGTAAAAGTTAGGGGGCAAAATCCTTACGTTACCTTAAAATCTCCACCACTGGCACGTTCAATGAATTCGAGACGGATGCGAAAAAGTAGCTATTAATAGTGGTAATGTGTGTACAAAAACTCAGTCCTGCAGATCAAACGGTTACTAAGATATTAGCAAAAAATTAAAATGAAAGCCCAATGAGAAAAATGGAAGAGGAAAAGAATGTTTCTTTTTTCAAGAGGAATTTACAGTTTTCCGTTGCGACACTTATTTAGGAACACCCTGTATATTATTATTTAAGTTTTGCTTAAATAAGGTTATAATTTTTAAAACATGATTTTGTGACTCGTCGTTGTTGCTAATCTAACCTTATTATTATTGCTATTTTATTAATAGCAACACAGTCCCACAAAAAAGAAAAGTGGTATGTTCCAAAGAAGAGACATATGCATTATTATGGGGTTAGAATCGCTCCATCACCCGAAAAACTGCCTTTGAATAAGAAAAATGTGGAAAATTCTATTTGTTCACAATAGACGAGGTCCAACTTCATCTTTCATTATCTCTAATAGATTAACATTTTTGATAGTACAAAAAATATATCTTAAAGTTTCATTGCTTTTCAGATGTGATTCTAGCTTCAATATTATATTTATGTGTCGAAGGTATGTACAAACTGCTGGTTTCCACTAATGGGTTTCGCCAGCAGTTTGAAAAACGAAACCTCTTTTTTCCTCTATTTTTTTTAAAATTTCGAATAACGAAATTTAATTAGAAGAGTAAGGATTATTATCAGAATTTAGTTGAGGAAAAGTTGGAAATCTTTAAAAATTTGTTGGATGATTAAAAAAAAACTAGCCAAAAACACAGAAAAGGAAAAGCAGTCTAGTGCATAGATCCTTTGAAGATAATTCGTTACAAAAGAATGAACGAAGTAAAAGAAAAATCATTTCTTATCTGGAAATGATTCGAATACCCTCATTTCTCTGCGGACATCAAATGACTGAGTTTCTCAGATTTTAGGTTATTTTGCACGCTATAAAAATACTGGAGATTGATAGAATGATTCCGATTTCATATTCGGCTTCAACACGTCAAAATACATGCAGATACGGTCCTACAAAAACTTCCATTCTCTTTTTACAGTAATTCCAAATGCTATACTCCCTACTCCCCTAGAGTGAGATTTTCCGTATATAAGGGTTTTCGGCAATTATAAAAACGGGGGGGGGGGTATTGGAGCAGGCCAAATACTTTACACTTTAGATAGATAGATAGCTTGTAATTGTAATTTAAAGCGTTTGCTGAATATACAGTGTCCATGTTGAAATATGATATATCTACAGCGTGTTTTTAAAAAAGCTGCCATAAATACAGTATTTAATTGTTCATAAAAGTAAGATGGTCTAACTTGTGTCTATTTGTTCCATATTTTTAAGATACAATGCGTCAAGGCATTTTTATATCTAAAAAGGTTATGGAAAATGTTGTTTCAAATGAAGTTTTAAATTAAACTTCAAAGTTCAATTTGTCACATTTTAAATCATAAAGACAAATACAATCATTACCTACTTAAGTTTAGTTTTTACGTATGTTTTAATTGAAATAAAATTAGTTTTATTTTAGAGAAGAAACATAGATATTAAAATGTTTATGTCAGATCATCAGCCTAAATTCATTCTTCTTCCTTGTACAAAATGACTATACTTAATACGAAATAGGAAAGTATTATCTATGTATGTGTGTATGAATACAGGATGGGTCAAATCTACATTCTAAATGTTACAATTAAAAATGGGTTCAAATTTAAAATTTTTACACCAATACTAAGTTGTTCGGTACTTAATACGTCATACATTATAACCATTGTATTAAAAATGAATTAACTTGCAGGTCATCCGAACGTCAAGCTATTTATTTCACATGGTGGACTTTTGGGAACCATAGAGGCTGTTCACTGTGGCGTACCTATAGTGTTCATACCTCAATTTGGAGACCAGCATACGAATGCTAAAGCTATTCAATCTGTAGGAGGAGGCATGGTTCTTAGGATAGAAGATATCACAGAAGATGCAGTGTATAAAGTTCTGACAAAAGTGCTGAGTCCAGAGTAAGTAACGCTGGTGGTAATATTTTGAGAAGATATGCCATTTTTCTGAGCAATCACCATATTTTTAAATAAACTACTTACATATGCACATATATCCGGTTGAACACTGTTGGCAAGGTATCGGTGGCATCATTTGAGTAATTCCTAAAAGACGACGTGGATTATTTCGGCAATACATATTATTGAGATATCAGAAAATGTAAAAGACAAAAAAATGGTTAAATAAAAGTTTAACAGATAATAAACTTTCCTAGTTTTACGAATTTTTGAAATTTTATATCTGTAAACCGTTTTTCATTTAACAATATTTTTAGAGTATTCGAGATTTAAATAAAACAAACGCATTATAAATTACATTTTTTAACATTTTTTAATATTTTAACAACAAAGAGAATGGGTTTGATCTCTCACCCTCTGTCTCTGTCGAACTGTTTACATATCTATTGGTCTACTGGCGCTGAACAATGAGGACAAATTAATTAGTTAGTTAAATTATGACAAATGAAATTCGCCAAATATTCAAAGAGGGAGTCGACCATGAAATAGAAAACTAACTAATTGTAAATCTTAAATTAAATTTTTATAAATTACAAAATTAGGTCTAAAAGCAAATTAATAAATATAAATGAGATTGTCAAAGATACTTAAACAGCGGTTTGAAATTGCAATTTAGATTAGCTTGAATATTATTACAATTATTTTGATTCTCTCAAAACAACTAAATTTGCTTATTAAAATTACCAAAGGAAGTATTATGAAGAAATTTACTTGAACTTCATTGTCGGAAAATATATGTCGCCAAAACATAACACCATTTATTTGATATAGTTAAAATTTTTGCCTAAGAGCGTCCCCCTTTGCCTGTTTCAAACATTTACGTTGTTTTTTTTTTCATGAAATATTTATTCTAACTTTTTTCAGGAAAATAAATAAATGTAAGTGCAATTATTATAGTCAGAATATTGGTATCAGGTAGCCTATAACCATTAATTTTGAATTAACAAAACTATCACTCGATTCATTTACATAAACATAAATTCTAAAGCCCTTTACAAGGGCTTTAGAGTTTATGTTGAATGACGTTTACAAAAAAGAGAAATTTTTTGAACATTGATAAGCATACGAAAAACATGCAATTAATATGAAGAGTGAATCAAGCTAACTGCATTATTGTCACATTGACAATAATCCGGTTTGATAACTACTTTCCATTTTTATAGATTAAAAGTATCTATTAGAGGGAATTTCCTCATCCGAGTTTAGCTTTCGAATTAAGCTCCACAGCTTAGATAGTTGTTCCGTCATATCATCATACTGAAAGAATATTTGGGTTACGGTCTCCCTTTCTCCAATATTCTATATATACTCAGATGCTTTCTAAGTCTGCAAAGTCTGGTTAGAAGTCCTGATGTTATACTTACTGATTTGAGATAGGTCAACTTACTTAATGATCCTTTTAAGAATATCCAGCCTTATGTCTGTTCTGAAGTTACCATCACTTTTGGGCATTACCTTCACCCATTTTTACTGGGCCAGTATGGTATCCAGAATGCCGCTCGCGACAAAACCATTTGAAAAATCTCAATCGACAGCCCTTCATGTTCATAACGATCAGATCGCTACTGAACCAGACTTTGAATTAATGGCCAAATCTTTTGACTTTGGACCTGGTTCTGCGTGCGGACACTGAAGTAGTTCTAACATATTCCTTGAAAGTCTTTAGCATTCGTAAGATAAATGATCTATGAAAAAAGTTGTTATCATAAGTCACTTACAACTTCTCCAAAAATATTAATAATTAATAATTTTTTTATTCGTCAATTTACAATCAGACAAAGTGAACATGTAGATGCAAATATTTACTATAAAATAACATCATAATGTTCACATAATTTTAATCTTTAATTTGAATACGATCATTCTCTATATAGTTCTATAAATTGCTGTTGCATCATCAGATTTATTGAAAAAAGCATAAACGCTGATACACCGATTTATCAGCGCTTTGACTTGGCATATGTTTCAGAGAAAAACTAATATTTGTAACATCGGCACACAAAATATCTCGATTTAGCTAAAGAAGGAGTTTTCCCTTTGCTCAGACTAACGAAATTATGGTTAATCTTTGTTTCTAGAATATCTTATTCTTTTGTTTTTAAATGATCTGCGAAGAGAATGTCTTTTTTTTTTCATCTTTAGTTTCCGGTACATCCCGTTTCAGATTCCAACAATAGTCAGCTAACTTATTTACGTTCCATCTTCCTTGATATCGCTTTTCCATTTCTTTGAGGTCTTGATGAAACCTTTTGCCCTGTTCTTCCCTAAAATCTCCAAGGTTGTCTAGAAAATAATTATAATTGTTTCATTGAAACAATGAATACTAAAGGAAAAGATGCAGGGTTGAATTTTAAAGAAGTGTGTGAACATTTTCTCGGGAATAATAAAAGCGAAAAATTCGAAGAAATATGGTCAGCAACTTCTAGAATCTACATTACCTCGAACCACACCTCGATTACAAGGAGAAAGATTTCGTCAAGATACAAGTGAAATGGAGAATCGATACCAATGAAGATGAGATATCAACATGATGGCAGATTTCTGTTGGTCACTAAAGCGAAAAACGAATCAGAGTAGACAGAAGAGAAAGAGTAACTCGCTGTATGGGTCATTCGACGAGAAAAGAGTTCGCTACAAGAGAAGAAAAGTGTAAGAGCAACATCAAAAAAGCCTAGTTCAAGTTAGTAGAATTTATTTGGAAGTAATTCATTCCATTGCATTTATTCAAGATTTTTTAGGATTCACGAATTCCATTTTTTACGATATTTTACGATTTTTGCAAAATTTTTGGGTAATGAGGCTCAACAGACTTCAAATTCGACTCGACAAAATTTATGAGCAGAATACTTGATCCAATCTAGAAAGTTTTTTCAGTTTTATTAATGTTTTTTGCCATTTCAGCTATTCTTTGCGTTTTTTTTTCAAAATCGGTGGGGGGATACAGCTAATAGACTTCAGACTTGAACTCAGCGTGTCAAAATACTTAAGAATACACTTGATTAAGGTCAGAAAAACATTATTCTTATTTTTTGCGCTCACTAACGTGATTTTTTGCGATTTTTCGCTATTTTTGGTGATCTTTCGCTACTATTTTGCGATTTTTGCAAAATCTGTGGGGATGCAACTTAAAACACCAGATTTGGAGTCAGCATATCAAAATACATAAGAAACCCACTAGATCAAGTTCAGAAGATTTTTTCGAATTTTTTTGGGTTCACTAACATGAATTTCGGCGATTTTCCACTATTTTTGCCAATTTCTCAAAATTTTGGGGATGTTTGAGCTAAACGGACTTCAAGTTTATTGGGTCAATTTAAAGGTACAAACCACTTTTTGTGTGCCGGTGTTATTAATGCCGTCAATAAAAATGTATTCCAAAGTAATATTTTAACATATAACTATAATAAGTAGATAATTAAATAGAGTATTAAAGTATCATAGTAGTATGTAGTAGTATTAGAGTATTAGAGTATTAGAGTATTAGAGTATTAGAGTATTAGAATATTAGAGTATTAGAGTAGAGTATGTCGTAACTATACTGTAATAATATTAGTAGTGACGCCTTATTGATAACATTTTCTATTTCAGTTTCAGGCAGCAAGCTAAAGAGTTGTCCGAAAGATTTAGGGACCGCCCACTGCCACCACTTGAGACAGCCATTTATTGGGTGGAATACGTGGCAAGACATAAAGGAGCACCGCATATGAGAACAGCAGCTGTTAATATGCCCTTCTATAAATATTATCTGTTAGATGTCGCTGCCACTTTGTTCCTTGCTTTTAGTTTATTTATTTACGTTTTATATTTAGCTGTTAATTTTATACTACAAAAAGTTTTCAGGCTTAGAAGTGGAAAGGTCAAAAAAGCTTAATAAAATATTGGTAACAATCTTGTAATAATAAAAATCAGACGAATTAAAATAAGAAAAGAATATATTAGTGCAATTAAAAAATATACGTAATAAAAATAAATAAATATAAGGTTTAACTTCAAAAACTAATCATTTTTTTTGACAAATTACTTACCTATCCCAAAAACTGCTTTCACTTGGCTTTTATAATAATATAATCATATATTGTTATAACTGTCATATATACAGGGTGTTTCAGATCGGGTGAATTAACCTTTAATCGCAAATAGAACTCAATATTGTCATATTTGCAATAAAACATTACATATTATGTTCAAAATGATGTCCTTCACTAGCTATCCACAAAACTCTCTTGTTCATATCACATTTTACAGTTGTTCTGTTATTCTTGATATGACTACACAAGACTGTACACCGGTTTCTACAAATATGTGTGGATTTTCTGCAGTCCAGGTTCTATAATTTTGGCTATACAGAGTGATTTAGGTTTATTCTGGATACTTTAATAATCGATAGAACAGGTTCATGATATAAACGTATTTCCTAATTCGTGTCGTTTCGGAGATAGAGGGCGTTGAACTAGATTTTTTTTCTTCTTTACCATTTTTAGTAGTATGAAAAACATCATTGTTACGAGTTACCACTTCTAACAAATATTTTTTGATTTTTACAATTACGTACCGTAATTGGTTTTATATTTCCAAATAATTATCTCAAATGATTAATAGTGGAATCAACCTCCAATGTGCTATTAGATTCAGTGAAAAATTCTCCCGGTAATCTAATGGTTTGACCAAAAACTAATTCAGCAGGTGAATATTTAATATTCACCTATATTATAATTACCTATACCTATATTTATTAAACCTACCTATATTTATACCTATATTTTATTAACCTATACCTACCTATATTTTATTAAAGCTCTAAAACCTAGTAAAACAATAGGAATTTCATCTTTCCAGTGCTTAGTATTACTACGAGCCATTAGAGCCGTTTTTAAAGTTCACTGAAATCGTTTTACCGTTCCATTACTTTGGGGATGATACGGTGTAGTATGTATCTTATGTGCCCTTAGAAATTTAGTAAACTGTCTAAATAATTCTGACTCAAATTGTCTACCTTGATCTGTAGTAATAGTGTGAGGAACACCAAATCTACTAACGTATTCAGTAAATAACTTATTTGCTACCGTTACAGCTGTCATGTTCCTAAGAGGGTATGCCTCTGGCCATCTACTAAAACGATCAACCACTGTAAATATATAATTATTACAACCACCAGACATAGGTCAAGGACCTACTAAATCAATATGTATCTGCTCAAATCTACCTTTAGGGGTATTAAATCATCCCATTTCAGGCTTTGTATGTTTGTACACTTTAGACTTTTGACAATCTAGACATTGTTTAGCCCATAACCCAATATACAGATATTGGGTTATGAATACAGATTCATTTTTGCCCAAAAATATTTCGATTTTATCAATTTCTTTGATGCTCGAACTGCAGGTGGGTTATTGAATGTAATTTCATAAAAAAAATATTTCCGCATTGTTAGTGGTACATAAGGTCTATTTTGATATACATATTACACTACAATTATTGCTTGCTGTAATCCGATATGATCTTCACGACCACCAATAACTCGGTTCCTTTTCTTGACTCTTGTTTCCCCCTTTTGAGTTCCTTACTTCTCGCTCTTACTTGATTTGGCAGATGATGATTGTAAACTGACTGCTACTTTTCTTGATCCTTTTAGTTTTCGTCCAAACTTTTCAAGCTGAAGATAGTTGCTGCCAATGCAGCTCCTTATTGCGGCCTTATGTCTCTCGTTCAAAATTGTCCGCTGCCACTGCAGCTGCTTATTGCGGCCTTGCGCCTCTCGATCAAAATTTTTTTAGTTTCGATCGCGTCACCATATTTGCAGCCTTCGTGTGGGATAAATTAATTACATCAATTTGGAGAACATATGTTATTTCTGTTTCTTTACATTCGTTTCCAATACTTCTAACTTGGTTTCTAGATTGATATCAAAAACACAATCTTAATAATACTATTATATCAATGGATACTCAACAATAACAATCGGCGACTACGGAGTGAATGCAAGCATGCCATCACCCGCCTTCATTTCGAGAAAATGGGCCATTATAAAGGTATTTTGTTCTGGAATCAACGGCATAATGCGTTCTGAAATAAAACCAACCAATAATTCGACAAAATACCGAAAGCTTATCTGTGAAAACAGCTGATTGATTTGAAATATGTACGATTTAATATTAAAGCAAAAGAAATAATAAAATTATGGCAACACGAAAATAAACACGGACGACGGACGCCACACAAATGTCAAAATTACTGGTCAGGTGGCTTGTAATCATTTATGAAAGCTCTGTATATAATACACAAATCACCAATGTGTTCCGCGAAAGCTTTACGTGAAATGACAAAACGCTAGGTGTGAGTAAACTTATTCAGGATTGGTAGAAAAGTATATATTTATGGTAGAAACGACACGAAGTGCTCTTATTAAGCAGAAATCGCTTATTTTCAAGGAAAGCAGGAAACACGAACACTCCGTTAAGGACGGATACTTGAAACGCAGTCAGCTCCTTATAACACCTACTTATGGGGCAGATATGCATGCAAACTTACGGGCATATAATTTTGTTGACGCATAAAAATTCACATTTAATTAGGTGCGACACTTCACACAACAAATAAAAGAAAAACTGAATGCTAAAGTGTAGTTTAGTTAAGAAAATTGTTTAGATTAACATTGTTACATAAAAAAAAATAAAGTAAAAATCTAAGAACATTGTAATTGTAAGATTATTTATTGAAAAATAATAAGTTGGTAAACAAATTTTCAAGAATTACGTAATTACAGAAAAGGTGGTTCCATCAATTTTATCCAGTTTTCATAAATGTTACGTAGTAATGGTGTTCTAGCATTGTCGTGGTTTTTGTACTCTAACATCAACGAAGCATTCTGTAAAAAAATCAAGAAGCGCAAAATTCTATGAAGGTATTAAAAGTTGCAGTCTTTTTATCAAAAATTGAATCGTTTTTTGTTGTCTATGATCGACTCAAAATTAGCGTAAGAAATTGGTTTTTGTAAAAGCCTGTGCAATAAGTTTCATTGCACGACTTAAGGTAAAAGGTGTATCAGCAAGAATATGAGTATTTTATTCATTAACACTCATTTTTAGGGATGTTTTTATATGCCTTGGAATCAACACAATTTCAAATAATAATTCTAGGCAATTCATATCCCCTCGAAGTAGTAGACAGTATATCGGTAGCGGCAACAGCATTTTTTGATATTGCTTCCTTTGCTTACTATCTGTGCAAAATTGATATCGCAATTTTGTTTTCTTCTACGTAAGATTCTGCCATAGTCAATGCCTTCCTCTTCGATTTTATAACATCTGCATTTGTAAACGTGATTCAAAGATGTCCACCAATTTCGTTTGGTATTTTATATATTTTCCAAAGATATTAATTCGTACCCATCTGCCGAAGAGATCACTTTCCATTATAGTAGATAGCAAATAGTGCTTCTTGTGTTATTGCTGCATGTACAGGCTGTTACAAATTCGATTCTCACTACAGGAATCTCGAAAACGGTAAGAGATACAAACTAGCTTAAATGGGGGTAAAGTTGCGTAATTAGGGGACCAACATTATACCTCTAAAAAATCAAAGCTAACATGATTAGTTTTCGAAATATTTGAAAAAACCGAATTTTTGGAAATCCGTTTTTGTTTCATTTCAACCTTGTTTGAGGTGATACTTACACTTTTTGCCCTCTATCGAATGGCATAATCAATCTTTATATGTAACGTTTCGTCTCTCCAGGACCATCAGCAACTTCATTTTTTTAAATACGACCCTAGAAATTTTATTACATTTTTTACAAGCCTTCATGATCCCCAATAATATACTGCCTCAGCCCGAACCAGATTCAGACGTTTTGTCTGGAAAAATTCATCTTGAGTGTATTCGTTCCAAATTTATCTAAATTTTTTATTTAGATTTCTTTGTTTATTGAATTATCATATTTAAACTATTACCACCACGCATTAAAATAAAAAATTATTAGAGTATTATTCCCGTGTCCATAGTTATTTCTAGGCTTCTCGAGTGCTTAAAATTTAAACAAATTTCGATCTATTTGTTTCAGGATATTCATACAAATACAACAGACATGTTCCTTCACAGTTGCGGTTACAGGGATAATAAATTCCGATAATATTAAGCTGATATTCCTTTTTCAACCTTTGCCAGAACGAAAATGTTTTTGAACATTTACTGAAATTTTTTAAAGAATAATATTCAGTTGGCGTTTTGGTTGTTCATATGCATTTTTAAGAATTAATTTGTCATAATAGAATTAAAATTGTTATAATGGTTTAATTTTGACGCAACAATATTGAGTTATGTATGACCAAGTGTGATGGTAATAGTTAATAATAATAAATGTGTTATTGTAACGCGTGTTGGTAATAGTTAACTAGATGGATTTCACAGGGTCTAACGACACTTACAGTGTACGATAATTCAATAAACAAAGAAATCTAAATAAAAAAAATTAGATAAATTTGGAACGAATACACTGAAGATGAAATTTTCGAGACAAAACGTCTGAATCTGGTTCGGGCTGAGGCAGTACAGTATTGGGGGTCATTAAGCCTTGTAAAAAATGTAATAAAATTTCTAGGGTTGTATTTAAAAAAAATGAAGTTGATGATGGTCCTGGAGAGATGAAACGTTACATATAAAAATTGATTATGCCATTCGATAGAGCGCAAAAAGTGGCCATGAGAAAGTGTTCTTCTTTGTTCAATATCAGCTCAAACAAAGCTGAAATAAAACAAACACGAATTTCCAAAATTTCGGGTTTTTTCAAATATTTCGAAAACTAATCGTGTTAGTTTTGATTTTTTAGAGGCATAATGTTGGTCCTCTGATTACGGTACTTTGCCTCAATTTAAGCTACTTCGTACCTCTTACAGGTTCCGAGATCCCTGTAGTGAGAAGCGAATTTGTAACAGCCTATATTTTAT